ATATATATATATATATATATATATATATATATATATATACATAGTGTATTATATCAATTATAAAGTAATTGATATACCGTTTAATACACTCCTTCCCCCTTTGCAACACATACATGTGTGATAAATATCATACTTGTCCTCTAGGTCAATATCTGCTGAGTATGAGGGAACTGTTGACCTGAAGGGAATCGATGTGTATCGGTACATGTTGCCTCCTGAAGCTCTGGCCTCTCCAGTGGAGAACCCAGATAACCAGTGCTACTGTACAGACCCTGTGCTCACCAGAAACTGCACTACGGCAGGACTTCTTGACCTCACCGCCTGTAAAGGTCAGTGCTTTGGGCCTCGTATGAAGTCAGCTGAGACTGAAGTTGAAACTAAAGTTTACTGAATGCATTATTTGAGTTTTTTATATTCAATATTTTTCAACAGGAACCCCAGTATTACTCTCTCTACCCCACTTCCTCTATGGCAGCAATGATCTCCATCAAGGTGTGATCGGACTGAACCCAAACTTTGATGAGCACTCCATATTTCTGGATGTAGAACCGGTGAGGAACCCATTTTAGTTTGCACAAGTTTTCTTTTATTGAAAGGAAGAAGCTTTAAGATAAGACAATGGTTATGCATCTTGTGTCATTTGTAGATTACAGGTTTCACTCTGAGATTTGCAAAAAGACTTCAGGTCAACATGCTGTACGGCCCATCGGATAGTATTGTGTATGTAAACAGACATCACACATTGTCATTCATACACTAAATTCATACATGCACGGCTTCACATGATGTCCTGTGTCTTTCTTTCTCACAGAATTTTGAACAAAATCAAGGACTACACAGTTTTCCCTATTTTATGGGTAAACGAGGTAAGCGTTAATGAAGCATCTATTTCATTAAAGCAGTTAGGTCCAGCTAAAGTATATAGGCCCAATAAAGCACCTATAATAACCTTAGTATTCCCATTTAGCGGAAATATGTCAGTTTGAGGCTATCTATCTATACAGTATATATAGTGATCTAACCTATCTATCTATCTATATATATATATATA